GCGATATAAATAACCACTGAGCCTGTTCATCCACAATTTTTCTTTTGTCATTTATTGCATTGTTTCTGGCTCTTGCACACATTCTGCCAAAAGACAGAAACTGGTTGTTCAGGGCGATCAAACACAAATGAATGTCTAATGTTCCGCTGGTGGTGATTGATGTCTCTATTGGCGGAAATATACTGTGTCTCTATACACTCTTTCAAAATGTACTTTTGACTTTAATTTCTTTCTTTGTATTTTATCAATGCCTTTATTCAACAATAGATTATACATTTCACACCTTAGTATTATCTGGTTTTCCAGTCATTTGTGATTACTGTTTTAGGAATTTTAATCAGAGAGATTGCTCTGAATATTTCTTACTTTTTCAACTTAATTCTTCTGATATTCATTTTAATTAAATTATGAGATTTCTGTATAGACTAACTTTGTTAAAAACATTTTAAAGAGATTTCTTTATTTTTTTTACCCAATTGAATCCAATTGTGTGATTACTGAAAGGCTATATCTATACAATTAGCTTCCTAACTTTTTTTTTTGCATAAAGGAGAGTCTCTGTTTGACCCATAGCAGATGTGCTACAGTGTACAAATGTGATTCTCACTCACTTTCAACTCCAAACTGCAAAGGCACTTGACTGAGAGCAGTTGGGTTGCTGTCATTGAATGCGTTACTGACAGAGAAGACCCCATTATGGTCCATCACAGTTATGTTTGAAACAGGATAATCCTCCAGGATGAGCTCAAACACATGCACACCCAGGGCCAGTGAATCTCCTGTGTGCAAAGTGCATGATTCCTATAAAGCAGAATAAACCATTATATACTGTATATATATATATATATATATACACAGTATAATACAGTATCACACACACTAAACATTACCTTGTGAAGATGTATGTTTGGATGTTGATGGCACAGTGTGCAGTTGGCGTCATTAAACCTGCATCTCACAACATCGTCATCTGGGTCATGTGCCAGCAATTGAAAATTCTGGAAGCAGTTCTGAGGAATCCTGAATATTATCAAACAGAAGATAGAGCAAGATTATTTTTTTGGAAGTAGATGTGTCTGTTATAAAGGCAAATGTGAATAATGCATTCAAATGCACAAACCTTATGTTTGGAATTGCAGCTGAAACAGGGGATCTGTTTGGAGACTGAGTGTCAGATCGCTGGCCAGTGTCAACACGAGTGTGAAGCGTCCATCCACCGACACCCTGAACATTATCTTCCCAGCAGCAACCAGAGGAACTGAAAGAGACATTTGATCAAATGCACATTTGCATTCTTTTAATGTCATGTATTTTATGTGTTTAAATGCATGAGTTCACTTTACGCATTAACCACAGAACTTAGCATATAACATTCCTTTAACCTAAACTATTAACTGTTAAGGTCTTTGGTATGTGCATTTTGGGATTTTATTATTTAACCTATTATGTATATTTTGCGATCATCAATAACTTAAGGTAGAACATAGTTCTATAATATAAAAGTAGCATCAGAATTACCTCAGAATGAAGGGACCATTACTAGTGACATTAGTGGCCATGTGAACCTCTGATTGGCACCACAGATTTTGAGCTGTGCTGTCGGTCTCCATAGGTTCTGTGTTGGTGAGGACGCCACAGGATCCACTCTCACAGATCCAGTTGACTTGAGAACCACAGGGACCCCTACTGGACTCTCTGGAGTAGAAGTGCATCTGCATAAAGCATAGAGGATACCGGGGTTACCACATGTTTAACTCTAGTGAATTTTTCTCAGGAGAGATTTCTTTTGATCATATTATTTAAAAAAACAGTTGAATCTTGTATAATTTGCCTAACTTATACGTGTAAAAGCAATGTAAAACAGTGTATCTAATTGCAATGATACAGCAATGCCTCCCTTTGTTATTGTTAACGAAAACTATTATATAAATCATCAATTATCAATTATATTGACTAATTTCTCATTTTCAGTAATTGAAATAAAGCTGAAATAAAGTAAAATATAAATATTAGATGAAAACTTAAACTTTCAAAAGTTTAATGAAAATTAGCAATGTTGCCTTGGCAGCTTACTGAAATAAATGTTTAGTTGAAGTATTAAAAGGACTAAAACTAAAGCTGAAATAAAAATAAATTAAAGCTAAATATATTCAAATCAAAAACTAATAAAATTACAAAAGCACATAACAACATTTCTCATAAAATGAAAACTTAAAATACATAAATGAGAACAAATTCAAAATATGAATAATAACTATAAATAATACTACAATAGCATTGCATCACAGTGTCATGAAACTGCACATGGAACATGGACAGAGGTGATCCAAACGCAGGCTTTATTAAGAGGAGAATCCAGAGACAGGTACAAGGAAACAGGCAGGGGTCAAAACCAGGTAAGCAGTCCAAACAAACATCAAATCCGTGCAGGGATAAGGCAAACGGGAAACCGGGAACAGGCAGATAACTGGAACTGGAACAAGGCTAGGTAATGCAGTCAGACACATACAATACTGAGCAATAAACCAAGGGAAAACTCAGGCTTAAGACAGGTGCGCTCAATCTAAAACAGGTGCAACAAATAAACCATAATCAGTCCAGGGTAAAACATAAAGGAAACAATAAACTAGGAAGGAGTGCCCCCCAGAGGCTCAAGCGGGCACTCCAGCCGCAGATCGTCACACACAGCAACCATCTCTTTTTTCTTTACACGTTTACAACTATTCACATCTACGTTTAGATTACTTATTCTTACTTAAAATTAATTTGACATATTTTGTATGACAGTTAAAATAGAGGTCAAATGAAATTGATTAAAAATAAACAGAGTGAGACTCAAAATGTTAAAACTGTATTTACCTCCACGGATCCATCAGGAAATCTGTTTCCAGGCGTGAATGTCATGGAACCCCCATAGAAACCTACGGCTGGTCCCACAGCGAGAGTCAAGCTAATCAGCAGCAGCAGCATCGTGCCGTGTGCCATTGCGTCTGCTGGAAACGTTCGTTGAGCAATGCCATTTACAAAGAGAAATGGGTGGATACCTTCTGTCTCCAAGTTATTGTCTAAGTTGTTCCACCAGTTGAAGACAAGCATGTGATGAATGACAGGAATCAGCTTCCTTAAAAAGCCACACACAGAGATTATTTATATCGGGTTACATCAACTTTGATTTCCTTATTATATAGATAACAATATCATCCATTGGGTAACATGATACATTGCAAAATAATATTATTTTCCAAATTAGTATGTTGTCAAAACTCCATAAAATATTAAGAAATTGTTTTTATATGGGTAGCAATAAGATAAAAAACAAATGTATAAACCAACTTTTGCAGTCGATCAAGATGAAATTCACATTTCACAAACAAGATACCAAATATTTCAGATGATCTAACTGTTAACCATGTTGTATCTCTGGAATCATATTAACTATAGTGGCTAAATCTATGATGATAGGTCAATACGTTTTTCCAAAGCAATATAATGATATGCATCTTTAACACTAGAACATCTATCTGATCTCTCTCTCTCTCTCTATATATATATATATATATATATATATATATATATATATAATTTTAATTAGGCCATTGCTTACTCAGCCTCATGTCATTCCAAACCTGTCAACTTCCTCTTCTATGTAATGCAAAGGATGTAATGACAGTCTTGATCACCTTGCATTTTCAGGGGGAAAAATTCAATGAATGTATATGGACACTGAGGGTGTCAGTCCCTAACATTTCCTTTTTGTGATCAACAGAAGAAAGATGTCACACTGGTTTGTAAAAAACAAAAGGGAATAAGTAAGGACAGCTTGTACTCCTTGGGCAACTCCTGAGGTTTATAATCCCTAATAAATCAGCTCTAACTAATTACTGTAATGCTCAATAAGGTTGTTTTATTGTTAAGACTTTTACTTTACTCAGAGAATCAGTTGGGTAACTTCCATAACATTTCCTTCAAATGTAGAGCTGAGAGATGAAGAGAGTGAGACATCTAAAGAACTAGAAAAGATGAATTAGACACAGTTGAACAGAACAGGTTTTGTGTAGAACATCCACATCATTTTGCCTCCTTCTGCATTTGTCTAGTGTTGTTGTATTAATTTTGAATAAATCTATAATGTCTTTTGTTATTGTGTGTGACTTTAAAAGTTATATATTAGTATCAAAAAACCTGTTGAAAAGATGTATGGCCTTGCCAGATTGTGTAACAACAACAATACATGAATGCTAATGACTGAATATTAATGACTTCATTCAGGACTATGTGATTGTATGTAATGTATTCAAAGCGTTCAAAAGTTTGGAGCCGATACGATTTTTTCACCACTTTTTTTTTTTTTTTTTGCTCACTAAGGCTACATTTATTTGACCAAAATACAGTACAATATTAATATTATGAAATATCATTACGATTTAATATATTCTATTTTATTGTGTAATTTATTCCTGAGATGGCAAAGCTGAATTTTCAGTATCATTAATCCAGTCTTCAGTGTCACATGATCCTTCAGAAATCATTTTCAATATGATGATTTATTGCCCAAGAAGCATTTCTTCTTCTTATTAGGCTACTATTAATGTTGAAAAGAAAACAGCTGTGCTGGTTAATATTTTATATTTGATTAATAGAAAAGTTCAAAGAACAGCATTTATTTGAAATATAAATATGTAGCTAACATAAATGTCATTACTGTCACTTTAGATCAATCTTTAAAAGAAAAATTCGTGCAGTGTAGGGCAGGCCTACGTGATGCCATACTTATAGGCTACAAATACATACATATACATATACATATATGTACTTACATACTGACCCTGAAAAGTGGTCCAAAAGTGTCAAAATGACCCTAATTGCGAATTTCCTTGCTTTCTGCTTTCGGAGACCTTCAGACACACGCCCCTCCCATTAGAGCGAACCTCTTTTGATTGACATGGACCATGCCCAATCAAAACAATGGAATGTTTGTTAGGGGCGGGATTTCCTTCAGCGCTGGATGAGCTGCTGCAGTTCGTTCTAGGTGACACGTACCAAAAGGTGCGATTAGGCCTCTCTAAACTTCAGATAATTATTTAAAAAAGGCTGCATTTCACTATGTAAACATCTTCACAGAGCTTTGGCTAAGCACGAGGACCAAATACAGCCGGATTCGTTACTTTCTTTAAACTGTTGAATGTATTTGGAAAACTTGGGAAACATTTCAGATATATATGTCGTTTGAGCAACAGTCCAGAAATATAATGTTTCAAGAGGAATCTCGGAGGGGACAAAGTTATTTCTATACTGAAGAGTGAAGAGAAAATCATTCCCACGAACGTTTCTGTGGAATCCAGGAGAGGAGGAAACATGGGCAACGGCGTGTGCTCCAGGAAGCAGAAGAAGATTTTCCAATCTCTCTTACTGGTCACGGTGGTGTTCGGGATGATCTATGGTGGGATGGTGTCTTATGAGATGCACAAACAGCTGAAGAGGACAGAAGAGATGGCCCTGAAATATCAGCAGCACCAGGAGTCTCTTTCCGCTCAGCTTCAAGGTAAAAACACACGTCGTCTTGATGACGTCACAGAGCAAGAAACATTCTCCCAAACTTTGGCTACTTACGAGCTCTAAAATGTAGTTTACTGTGAGTGATCTTGCAGGGTATCTTTTGTTTGTGGTGTTGTTGCTTAATGGTCAAAGAACTAGAGAGGTAATCGAAAGTTTTATTTTTAAAGCACATAAAAGAATGTCACATGACAATCTACAAAATGTATTGAATACATTGACTGACATTTCTTGTGTCAAGACCATTTAATGAGAATATAATAGAATGCAATAGAATAGAATGGGGTAACGTTGTCTATTGGTTAAAGGGATAGACATGAGGATGAGTAAATGATGAGAGAATTTTCATTTTTGGGTGAACTACCACTTTAAGAAAGATCTGGGCTGGTAACCAAAAAGTTCCTGAAAAATTTCAAATGACAAAATAATGTCACACAAGCTGTTAAATTGGTGACAAATGTTTCTGAATATTTCACACCTTTATCTTTGAGAATAGAATAGAATAGAACAGAATAGAATGCGATAGATGGGGTAGCTTTTAAAAAAAAGTCACCATAAAATCATAATGGAATTAATAGAATATTGCAGTATTTATTATAAATGATTTATCTGTGCACATATATTTTTTTAAATTCATATGCATGCCCTCCTAATCTTTAATCACTTCTCTGGGCGGGACAACATGTCACTCACACATGACATCACACCAAAAGCAAACCACAAAGATCTAAATGAATTCCCAATGGACAAAATCAAATCCAGCCCTACATTTTTACTTGTTCAAGAATCTGAATATACGTCACTCACAATATAGGGAAAAAAAGATGATTGCAACTTCCGTTTCATGCTGACTTTAAACCAAAGGATTGTTAGATCAAACCATATAAATGATTCCATATAGCAATGTAATCATCTACACGACACTTGACTGACACATATTTAATGAAATACCACGGTTTGCAAACCTTTTTCATGGAATTTAAACAAAGTGTTTTGCTGCAAATCCAACTTTGCTGCAATTCACACAGAACTTGAAACTGTTCAAACTGGCTGTTAACTTAAGGTATTGAAATCCTAGATATGTTTGAGTGTTTTTGTGTGTAGATACTGCATTTTTATGCAGAACATTTTGTTTCAACCTGTGCCTAAAATCACAGTCTTTCATTGTCCCAGTCTTACAGAGATTGGCTTCGCAGTTTGTCTGCTTGTCCAAGCTCAAATAGCTGCAAAAAGGGTACGACGAAATGGCCCTTGTTTTTATATTACCGGTAAATAAAAATATATGTTAAACTGTTGGCATTGACAGATGAAACTATAGTTTTATTACTTTGCTAGATTGCAATATTGAATTAATCATATTTTTCGTTGTCAACACAAAGATCTGACATATACATAATAAATATAAAACAATTAATTATAAATGAATGACTGATTAATCATAATTAATTATTTAACAATTCTAAAATGAAACAATAAAAAATCTAAATCGTTTACTGCAGGATACTTTTTAAGCACAAAAAAAGGTAAATATTAATGGGAATTTATTTCAGAGATATTTTACTCGTAAAAAAATTCTACAGGTGCCAATAATTGTGGCCAACGTGTTTTTGGAGAAAAACATTTATTCCCCCCCTAACCCCCCCCCCCCCCCCCCCCCCCCCCACACACACACACACACACACACTTTCAATTCTTTTACCTCAAAGAAAGGTTAGATTTTTGCTTTTTCTTTAATGAAAGATCAAAAGGATAAACAATCCTATTTTGTACAGCCATTTTTTTTTAATCATATTTACCAGGGGTGCCATAAATTCTGACCACAAATGTAGTTCAGATCTGATTAATATTTTTTTGGAATCATTTTTATATTTGTAAAAAAATATTCATGTGTTTATATTTAACTGCAGTAAGCGATTTAGATTTTTTAATTTTATAACTGTTATATAACTAATTGTAAATTTATAATAAGTTGCTTTACAATTATTATATTTATTTACGTCAGATATTTTTCTTGACAATGAAAAATATGATTAATAATCATTTAAGAAACCTTTTTTATATTTGAAAATATTTTTATTTTTAAATATACAAAACATTATGTAAGATTTAATTTATTATTTTTATTATTTATATATATATATATATATATATATAATTATTATACATTATGCATAGTAATTTATAACAGTCATTAATAATACTTGTTCTATATTCATTAAAAAATAGCCTTGGGTCCCTGAGCCAACATATATTTAATTTCCTAAGCATATGTGCTGCTTATTGTACAAACGATTTTACTTTTGATTGTTATTGGGACCACTAGGAGGTCCTGTGATTACTGCCTTCTTTGAGTCTTAATCACTGCACAGTCTCTTTAATCAGTATAATAAGTACTTGACGTGTCTGTTATGTAATGATGAATGTAATAGGAGGATACAAGACAAGAGGCAAGGCGTCGGAGGATGCATACCATGACTTCACTGTAATAATGCAGTTCAACGAACAACCCACGCTGCTGGACAAACACAAATATGGGGAGGAAAGACTCTGCCAGGCTTAATTTCCTGCAGGCATTTCAGATTTTGCTGGTGTAGCTCATGTTACGTGTAAAAAGAGCAGACGGGTCAACCTTTCAATCTGATGCCATTAGAGAGAAATTAAGAGGGTCGAATGTGGCACTCGACGGGTCAGTGGTTCACACAGTGGGGAAAGTCTTAAAAAATAGCTCAGCTTACTTTACCTTCTGACTATGGTACTGTAAAAGATTCTTGTTGTGAGGAGATTGTGTTGGGGTATCTAGATTTTTTTATATATATTTTTAGCACTGGTGATTTGTTTGCAGGTTAACATGCTATACTTTTTGTTTGACTGTTTGCACAGTAAACCCATGTCAGAAATTTACATCTTTAAATGTATATCTTTTAAAACACGGCCTCTACAGCCATATGGATTCAGAGTCAGACAGATGTTTTTTGTTTATTCTGAGTTATTTTTCTGCATTAGTCTGTTTAGTAAAATCACTTTTTCGATGTTGGGTAGAGCAAAACTATATATTTTCATGTATAATTAAGCTGTATAACTTAACCAATTTAGTGTCATGTCAGCTAGGGATGCAACGATTACAGATTTTGTAAGTACGATTATTGTCTGAGAAATAATCACGATTTAACGATTATCACGATTATTATGCATCAATTAATTTCACAACACTACTAATGTATAATATCACATGAACACTCAACACTAGATTTTAATGTGTTATTTATTGCTGCCACAACACAGTACAAAATTATAAAATGGCTAACAACAATCAATATCTTCCTTTTGGAATTAAAGAGAAGTGCTTTGTAAACATCCAGTATTTTTCTTTTAAAAATTATTTTAATACTCTTTTTTTTTTTATTATTAATCCAAATTTTACATGTGCCTTTAGAAAATCATCTATTATAATCTCATTATTTTGGTTTGTTTGTTTGAAGTTTAAGTAAAAATTATAGAAAGAAACTGAGAACATCTCTCCGTAAGGTTCAAAGCCTATTTCAGAGTGGACAAGGACCAGTTTGATTATATTTTAAGGAAAGTTGGCCCAAGCATCAGTAAACCGAGCTTCTGCTGTGAAACTATCTCTCCTGCGCAACGGCTCTGCAATTGTCTGGTTAGGGACGATTCACATACAGCGCCTGAAAACGCTAGGCGCGCCGTGTTCTCCTTTTTCCAACGCGCTAGGGCGGTTGCGCTCCGGAGGCGTCTGTCGTTGCTAAGCAATCGGTGCGCTTGCGGCATTCTCAAAAGTTGAGATGTTTTTATCTCGATGCGACGCGGACGCGCTTGGAAAAAACGAGCGCGTCGCTTCCATTATGAGCGCGCATAGCCTACCGCGCGCCTACATTTGAAATAACGAACTTGAGCGCGCAAAAGACGCGATATGTGAACAGGCCCTCAGGCGTTTTTTCGGTGGAAATAGAGCGTCGCTGCTTAGTCATAGTGGCTGATGAGCACGGCACTTTAAGCTGGTGCACCGCTGGTGTAACTTTGTTTTCGTTTTGTGTGTGTTAGTTGCAAAAGTTCCGTTCCGTGCAGAACACTCGGTGTAGCAAAGTCTTTACGATTAATTAACCGTGACGTTTTAAAGCGCGGTTAATTGTGAAATCCGTTAATCGCTGCATCCCTAATGTCAGCATAGGACACATTATTGTGTTTGAAAAAACACACATGGTGCATTACTCGGGTTTCAAGACACTGTCTCAAAGACATTTCATTGTGCCATATGGTGAAAAAAATGGCTTGCACATATGTGAGATGACAGCCGAACACATTTGTTTGCATTTTTGCATAGACCAGAAGTTCAAATATACTGTAACTCCCAACTGTAGCTGAAAGATTGCCAAGAAATGTATCAGCTAAATTTAAATAAACTTTCATTGCACAAAACTGTCATAGACCTTTGGATTATGCATTTAAATTTTAAAGGTGCTATATGTAACTTTTTGACTGTACTAAAGCATAAAAATACCATTATATGTTTGCAGAGATTTAGGGAACATGCTAAGTTCACATACTTATATGAAAAATGTTTCTCTGAAAATGCTGCAGCCAGTTATTTTACTTACTTTTGGTCGGAATGTCCGTTATAGAGGGAATGCATTAACGTCACTTTCCCGCCGGAACACGCCCCCCTCAGCCGGACTGAGTGGCAAAAGAGCTGCTGCGTGACTGGAGTTAATAGGGAAAACTGCGAAAACGCGAGTAAAACAAACTATTATCAGTTTAGACTAAAAGTTGGACTCGATATAGTATTCCTTACAACTTATCAAAGATCCAGTGATCCATGGATATTGACATGCAGCCAGGAATCGTGTTTCCTGACATTTAGATGTGCCTGATTTCGACGCCGGGGAAATAAATTAAGATAATTTGCCTGTAAACGTTTTATATAAATACAATATAGATAGGTCTAAATCCGAGGGATCACTTACATTAATGTTATACTGTATATCATCATATCGTCCAGCCCTAAAACTTGTATAGTTTTTTGTCCGTGTTTATTTAAAAACATCCAATTATGCAGAATATAGTCTGTTCTGTAGCTTTTTGCAGTCTGTAAAAATATACAGTACCTCAGATTTCTGGTCAAATCTAGTTGTACAGTCAATCGCAAAGCTCTTTCCCGTTTTAGATGTGTTTTTTGTGTGTTTTTCGCGGCATTCACGCTGAAAACAAATGCTGCCGCTCAGTCTTTTTGCCACTTGTGGGCGTGACCGCATCCACTCCGGCCGACGGTGACGTCATGCGCATACCCTCTATTGTTTCGGTCTGTGTGATCCCGCCTAGTGGCAATTTAGCCAATAGTATTTACAAGTCTTGTTCACTCAGATATACATCATTGCTTACGTTACATGAGTGCCCACACTACTGGCAGAACTCTTAAAACGTGTTTAAAAAAAACAGCCGAAGCCTTTGATCACTTGGAGTTTGCAATGGAGCTGATTTATTATTTACAGTTTTTTGCCCCCTTATGAATTTAGTTGTGTCCCAAATGACGCACTTATACACTATGTACTTATGCAATATGTACTCAACCGTGTAGTGTATATGAACTTTATATGGTTATTTTGTCAATCACCGTCAGAGTCTGATTGGCCCTCCCCTCCGCTACGTAATTAGGGACTTTAAGCAACAGCTGCTGATGGAACGGCAACGGCAGCCGGAAGTAAACTGTTTACTGCCGTAGCTAAAGAACGCAAAAATCACTAAGCAACAGTAAAGAGTACGGCGTAGGGGATAATTTAATCATTTGACAAAATACAAATAAAGAAAGTTATTTTAAAAAGCAGGAGAGGGTTGCTTTGGGAATTTAATGATATACAATTACAATGCCACATACCATAAAACATAACATTAACTTTCTTAATCTTTCACGTAGTAACGACTACGGCAAATCAGCTGTTCTCCCGTAGTAGACAGTTACAGTAGAACGTCGCGAAGTAGCAGCATGCTCAATAGAACGCCAGAATGCCGTTGCCGTTCATCTAGAGTCTGTTGCTTAAAGTCCCTAATGCCGCGCATGCGCAATAGAACACCAGAATGTTCCAACAGTAAGTTACCGAAAAAGTAACGCAACGCATTGCTTTCCAGAAAAAGTAACAAATTACCGCAATTAGTTACTTTTTATGGAGGAATACAATATTGTAATGGATTACTTTTAAAAGTAACTTTCCCCAACACCGGTCAACACCAATACAAAAATGTATTTTTCTCTCTTTCTTCCTGTCAGTTGTGTACGAGCATCGCTCTAGGTTGGAGAAGTCTCTTCAGAAGGAGCGGCTTGAGCATAAAAAAGCCAAAGAAGGCAAGTTTGTTTATAATATATGACAACATCAGTGACTAATTGATGAAGAGGAAATGATGAAGTCTAATGACATCCTGTAGCTTGCAAAGCAGCTATGTTATGCCAAGTGTCAAGTTAATAAGATCCTAAGAGTATTTGGACTTTTAAGCCACACTTAAAATGTATGAATGTCTTTGCAAAATAATATCATGTAATAGTTAATTAATTAGCATAATAAGTATTGTATTTGTCTCAGCTGTAATACTTGTTTTTGCCTTTTCCTCACAGATTATCTTGTGTATAAAATAGAGTCTCAGCAGTCTCTCAACAAAGAAAAGGTATGTTGTTTTGAGAGCTACAACATGAAGAATGTTTTTTTTTTCCAGTAAAAATTGGAGTTGTAAAACTAGATGAAATGCAGGGAAGCTAATTTTTTGAGAGAAAACATGCACTTGCCCTGCAGTCAAATACTCATCTGGTTTTTTGTATGCAAACCATACATTTCTCGAATATCACAACCTGTGGCTTTCCTGCATGGCATTTAGAGAGACATGATGCCATGCTTACAAAATGACCAGGTTTGTTTGTATTTGTTTTGTTTACAGCAAGATGCCAGTGTCAGGTTTAATTCTCTGCATTCCCAGCATCAGATTTTGAAGGTCAGTTGGAAAAACTGTATGTAACTGTATGTAAAATGCAGTATGTCTTTTCTTCCCACGGCAAACACAGATAATTCACTGTTGTGTGTCTGTGTGTGTGTGTTTACCATCAGAACCAGCATGACGACCTAAAAAAGCAGTATTACGAACTACAAGAGCGACATCAGCTACAAGGAGATGAACACAACAAGGCATTAGATGAACATAAACTGAGACTTGGCCAGCTTCATCAGACCAAAGTGTCTGAGATTTCTAAGCTCAAAGGTATCATGTTCTCGCCATCTTTCTCTTAGCAATAACACCCTGGCAACCACCACAAAGACTCTAGCATCATGTTGCCTACTGGTGTCTTTATGGTGGAATTGAAAGCTACAGTCATTTCAGCTGCCTCTCTCAATCTCTTTCTTTCCCAGAGAATGAATTAAACCTACGTGAAGAAAACAAGCAGTTGAGAAAAGCTCATCAGGACATCTATGTGCAACTTCAGGATACCAGGGTAAAACCGAAAAGCCCTATGGGTCTTTTTAGAGCAGTAGTACACAAAATATGTTTTATGGTTATTATAGATAATTAACCCATGCGTACTGTTTGCCACAGTTAAAGGGGTCAATCTTGTGAAAATGCCCCAAAATTCACAAACAAACAAATAAATAAAATTAGAAAATATATTTAGCATGAAGAATCATATTTCAAGACCATTGATATATATATTTTTTTTATGAAAAGAAAAAAGCAAGTCAATAAATAAATAATTCTATTTATATCTCTGTTACTGTATATTTAAATATAATGTTTATTAACCATATATAATATAATGTAATACATTTGATATTTAGTTGTTTGTTTATTTAAAATATTCTAAATGACATCAGTTCAACAGATTTGCAATGATGCAATTGTTACCGTTTTACCGTGCTTATAATTGAAATTCAAAAATGATAATTATCAGTTTAAATAATATGTGATAAAATAATCACATTACAAAGGGAGAAATTGTTATGATTCTGAAATAATTTCACAGTGCAAAAAATGTAATGGTTCTTAAAAATAGACTTTTTATGCAATATATATATTTTTATTTTTGTGAAATGTTTTTGAACATTTTCATAAAATTCACCTAATTAGAATTCAAATTTAGTCTTAATTTCCATGATCCATTTTATTGCAGATCAGGCAATTGTTTTATGATGATAATAATTAAGCTTTATCACACAGTCCATACTAATATTCAGTGTGGTTATCCTGAATGCTTGTATTTGAGCTTTGCCTGTGATGGTTCCTCTTGTAGCAACAGCACAAGAACCTAAAAACCAGCCACAACCAGCTTGTGTTGACCCTGGAGGACCACAAGAGTGCGCTAGCTGCGGCACAGGTTAGGGTGTGTGTGTGTGTGTGTGTGTGTGTGTGTGCATGCGCTTTAAGCAGGTGCAGGAGTGTGTGTTCTGTTCCACTGACAGCTCAAATGCCATGCAGAGCATATCCTGTGGGAAAGACAAGTCAAGTTTCACAGAGGTCATGTAAGCAGCAAGCAAATAATTTAGTGTAATAAAATTAGATTGCATGCATTTTCCACACTTGTTAGTGTCATTATCTTAACATATCAAACGCTTACTGTAAGTTGCAACAACTAAGTTGCTTTTCCTGTGCAATTTAGGAGTGTTATTTATGTGGCTTCATCCCAAATCAGTCGCCTATGACGGTAACCATGATGGTTAGGATGTTGCCTATGTAGGAAGCAAGGTTTTGAAACAGAGCTAATATGTTTTATTATATTTTCTGCAAAGCACTGGATAGAAGTAGAAATGCTCTCAGTGTGAAAGCAGCGCATGATCCTGCTGATTCAGTTAGACTGCAGTGCTGCTTATGCAAGCTTGTCAGACTGGACAAAGTCTGCGTTTCAAGTCCGGTCGCATTCCACAAGGCCATTATGATCTCTTGCACACAGTCTCACTCTCGTTTCTCAGAACTTCTTGCCCTTGTTTGTTTAGCATGCTAAAATGTGCATGACTCTGATAAGCCATACATGCTGTACGTCCTGTTTACTCGCTCTTTCTCTGTGGCTTTGAAAAACCAGATGTACAGATGCTCGTTAATTAGAACTGTCATTATCTGCTTTCCCAGGATGATAGAGAAGCATGCTGGGAGGCATTGGGTTTAGTGTGTGTGTGTGATACAGAGTGATATTTTCCTTCCATATGCTGGCAATACTTGGCATTCAAACAGAAAAGAAAACGGGTACCCTAGTGAAGAAGGATTGGGAGAAAGGTTAGGTTAGGATTGCAGGATCTTGGGTATGAGTTGAGGATGATAAAACAATAGTATGATTTAAAGAATAGTCTTTTGAAGTCATACATTTGCATTGTGTGACCCATATTTGAAGTCTTTATTTAGTTTTCTTTGAATGTTGATGTACAAGAACCTACAATGTTTAGTATCAATGACATTAAACATTTTCAAAGACCTACATTTAAATTCAATCATTACCAATTTTGAAACCAGAACAAAAAATAATATGCTTTTGAACATAAATAAATAATTTGAATATAAATAAATACATTTGAAACCATGTAGTTCTCTAGTATTCTTTCAATTAAATACATTTTGCTTTAAAACAAACTTTACTTTCTAAAACAAAATCTTTTATTTTAAAAGTATAAATATTAAATGATTAAATATGTATTAAATTTCAAATATATAAATACAATAATACCATATTGGTTTTTTTCTTTAAATAAAATTAAATCAATTTTGCTTTAAGTTCTAAATAATATGATTAAATTAGTAAATAAAATGAAAAACCAAGTAGTTTTGTAGAATTTTGTCAATTAAATAAATGTTGCTTTAGGTTCTCAATTCATTATTCAAGTAATTATGCAATTATTGATATACACTCACCTAAAGGATTATTAGTAACACCTGTTCAATTTCTCATTAATGCAATTATCTAATCAACCAATCACATGGCAGTTGCTTCAATGCATTTAGGGGTGTGGTCCTGGTCAAGACAATCTCCTGAACTCAAAACTGAATGTCAGAATGGGAAAGGAAGGTGATTTAAGCAATTTTGAGCGTGGGATGGTTGTTGGTGCCAGACGGGCCGGTCTGAGTATTTCACAATCTGCTCAGTTACTGGGATTTTCACGCACAACCATTTCTAGGGTTTACAAAGAATGGTGTGAAAAGGGAAAAACATCCAGTATGCGGCAGTCCTGTGGGCGAAAATGCCTTGTTGATGCTAGAGGTCAGAGGAGAATGGGCCGACTGATTCAAGCTGATAGAAGAGCAACTTTGACTGAAATAACCACTCGTTACAACCGAGGTATGCAGCAAAGCATTTGTGAAGCCACAACACGCACAACCTTGAGGCGGATGGGCTACAGCAGCATAAAACCCCACCGGGTACCACTCATCTCCACTACAAATAGGAAAAAGAGGCTACAATTTGCAAGAGCTCACCAAAATTGGACAGTTGAAGACTGGAAAAATGTTGCCTGGTCTGATGAGTCTCGATTTCTGTTGAGACATTCAGATGGTAGAGTCGGAATTTGGCATAAACAGAATGAGAACATGGATCCATCATGCCTTGTTACCACTGTGCAGGCTGGTGGTGGTGGTGTAATGGTGTGGGGGATGTTTTCTTGGCACACTTTAGGCCCCTTAGTGCCAATTGGGCATCGTTTAAATGCCACGGCCTACCTGAGCATTGTTTCTGACCATGTCCATCCCTTTATGGCCTCTGATGGCTACTTCCAGCAGGATAATGCACCATGTCACAAAGCTCGAATCATTTCAAATTGGTTTCTTGAACATGACAATGAGTTCACTGTACTAAAATGGCCCCCACAGTCACCAGATCTCAACCCAATAGAGCATCTTTGGGATGTGGTGGAACGGGAGCTTCGTGCCCTGGATGTGCATCCCACAAATCTCCATCAACTGCAAGATGCTATCCTATCAATATGGGCCAACATTTCTAAAGAATGCTTTCAGCACCTTGTTGAATCAATGCCACGTAGAATTAAGGCAGTTCTGAAGGCGAAAGGGGGTCAAACACAGTATTAGTATGGTGTTCTTAATAATCCTTTAGGTGAGTGTAGATTGCAATAGTTTTCTTTCTGATCTGGATGTATTTCCCCCATGATGGCCTTAAATCTCTTTCTCTTCTGCCTTGCGTAAGGGCTCTTGATTTTGGCTTGCTGTGTTTGTTGCCTGTTTCAGCTAACCACCAAACCAACGCTCAAGTAACTTTTCACCAGTGTATATGAAGCCTTTTCTCTGATGTGTGGTGTTGTACTGATATAATGGGTCTCGATGGGTTCCAGGTTCAGGTGGATGAATATAAACAGCTGAAGGAGACGCTCAGTAAGATGCCCAGTCTGAGACATGCTGCAGGGCAACCCCAGCAACATGAAGCTGTTCAGCCCGTCCAGAACGAGAACGCAGAAGAAAACAATCAACCACAGGATGCTCAGCCAGAGGTATTGAAACTGTTTATCCATCATGCATTCAAAACTGAGGTTTTCCCCCACTCATGTCGCTGGTTTAAATGGTGAAGAATGAGATCTGTTTCATGTGGATCTCCCTCAGATGGAGAAACACCACGAGGACGAGAAGCCTCAATCGCACCACAGGGAGGAGGTTGGCGAAATGGGAGGAGCCGAGGAGAGGAGGAGAGAGCTGGCAGAGGAGGAGATGGAGCAGGCGGGACAACCTCAGAAACTAGAGGAGGAGTTTGATGTGCCGCATAATGAAGTGGAGGAGGAGGAGCCACAGGCCAACCAACCAGATGAAAACGCGCTAGAAAGGGAGCAACGTCACGTTAAAGAGGTCAGAACTCTTGCGACATGATTCTGAATGCAAACATTAGATAAATTACCAATAAACTAGTATGACTACATTAGCTTTCAAAAGTTTGGGGTTGGTAAGATTTTTTTTGCTCCCCAATGCTGCATTTATTTGATCAAAAATACAGTAACAAATGTAATAATGTAAATCATTCATATTACAATTTTAAATAACTATTTTCTATGTAAATACATATATTTCAAAATGTAATTTATTCCTGTGATGGCAAACCTGAATTTTCACAACATTACTCCAGTCTTCAGTGTCACATGATCCTTCAGAAATCATTCTAATATGCTGATTTAATTCGAATATGCTATTATTATTATCATCATCATCAATGTTAACAACAGCTGTGCATTCTTCATTTGTTTTGTAACATTATAAATGTCTTTACACTCACTTTTGATCAATTTAATGCATCTTTCCTAAATAGATGTATTAATTTCTTTAAAAATAAACATACATACAGACCCAAAACCTTTGAACGGTAGTCTAGCATAGTAAGCTGCCTACCTAGACATGTTTAGCCAATTGGTCAGAAAGACAAAACATTTTGTTTTAAATGTTTTTTTTTATCAAGTATTAATTGAAAAAAGTTCCATCTAATTTAAAACACACTATGGCTATGTTCAGACTGCGAGCAAAAATTCTTTGCATATGCAGATTTAGCATTTTCCATAAAACACATGAAATCTGTTCTTTCAAATCTGATTCAAACCACATTTGGAGTTTGTGTGAAATGCGATTCCAAACAGATTTTTACAAATGCATCTCAGTCTGGACACTGGCTGCTCAAATCAGATTTCAAATTGTCTTATGCATCACTCTTAATGTGACACACAACGCTAACGTTAAAACCAGTGACGGAAATGTCGGAAATATTCATACATTCATAGATATATACCAGTCTCCTCCGTCGCTGAGTTTTTCTTGTGCGACGGAAGAGTTCTGCACTGAGACTCAATAGGGCGCTTATTTGGAGAGCGAGATGATGCTTTTAATTTTTCCTGCATCATTTGAAAGCCTCATCACATACGTTGGTACGTTTACGTTGTTACCTAAGCAACCCATGCAGATAGGTTGGTTATGTCTGGAGTGGACACACAAATCTAATTTGATCACTTGCAATTAATAGTACTGACAGTCTGCTTGAAAAGATTTGATTTGAGAAAAAATCTGATTTGATGTTTTCATTCTGTATGTTTTCGTTATTATTATAAATATTGAGATGTTATCTTAGCCAGTCCACCTCCCTGCATTGTCCTCCAACATTGAACTATTTTCCCATTGTAAGGCCCTCACTCTTCTGTTCTGCCCCCAGGTGGCGCCAGCGCTGGTGGAGCGGGTGAAGTCTGCATACGAACAGCAGCAGGAGCAGCAGCGTCTGGCTGCGCAGCTGGCGGAGGAGCGCAAACAGTTGCACCTGCGTCAGGAAACCCTGCAGAAACAGCAGCTGCAGCAGCAGAAGGAGAGAGCGGAAAGATTACGTCTGCAGAGAGAGAGAGAGGAACAGCTGAACAGAGAAGCCGATCTCAAAGATCAAAAACTCCAGCAAGAGATGCTCCGGTCAGAGGCCCTCCCTCGAGTTATACAGTTATTAAAATAAATATATCATAAAATATTAAAAAATAATAAGCATTTGTAATTACATGTATTTTTAACAATACTTTTTGCAGTAATGAAGAATGGTCATTTGTGCGTGTTTATTTGCTATGCCAGGAAACTGCAATGATTTATTTTATAAATCCTTTTATTTTCTGTATTTACCAGGAAAAAGGCACAGTATGAAAACATAGATGCTGATATAGTCCAGGGAGAAGAAGATCCACAGATAGCTGAGGAGAAAGGTGACAATTTATGTGGTTTGTCGTGATAGCAGTGCTACTTTTTACTCGTGGTGTCTCAAAGTGATTTCTTAAATGTTTGGTGCAATTTTAATATCTGGGACCAGTTGTTCAAAAGTAATCTGATCGGATTGGATCTTGGAAATTGGTTGTTGAAAAGAAGGGAAAAAAGGATTTTGAAATCAGATTAGATCACAAAATCCAATCTTGGATGCCAAAATAGATTGGGATACCTTTGATTGAAAAAATCTGGATTATCCTGATCTCAGCAGAAGGGTGGATTTCAGGAACAAAAATGTAATAAAAGTTTAATACTGGTCAATGAAATATATATATATAGACATTGATATTTTTATTTTGTTCTTGATTAGTTTAACTGTAAAGTAATAAAGTAGAAGTAAACATTAGGCTACCTATTAAGCCTTTCAGTACAGTAAAGTAAAAAAATAGATTTTAGTGCAATAAAATAAACAGCTGTTAATATATATATATATATATATATATAAAATTATATTTAATTTTAAGTTTTTTTTTTAATTTTTTTTAAATCACTGTATATAAACTACATCAACACAATCATCAGAGATGAACCAGACAAAAGTATTTTCTAACAATTATTGCATGCATATTTGTTTGTTTTTGTTCTGGGTCACATGAGGGGCTACGGAAACCCTAAAGGGACATAGAGATGGGAGGAAAAATTAATATTTTATGCTTTTGTGTTCTCTCGCAAGAAGTAAAATGGATTACCTGATCCTGGATAGCAAAACATGGGATTTCCAAATCAAGATAATTTTGATCCAGATTAAACATTTTGAATAACTGGGCCCTGAGGATTATACTTTTGTATGTCTCTGTCATGTGTAGAGGAGAACGTGCACCATGAGGAGCCAGGGCAAGGTGAAGAGGAGCATGCTCAACATGAGGATGAGGTGTGTTCCCTTATGATATTATAAACGCATATACAAGCACCAGTATTCATATAAACATGGCTTGATTCTTACTTTTCCCAGGGAGCACATGTGCTCCTAAGTTTAAAAATGTAGGAGCACATTAAAAAATGTATCAAATAATGTATATTTCCAAAAAAGTACACTAGATTTTTAAATATTTCTGCTTCAAATTGAATTGAATAATTCTGTAATTATAATATATATTATAATGTTGGACTTTAATTATAATTATAAACAAGCTCGAAATACACCGGGACTCTTATTTTGAATTTAGTTTTTATATTGCTGACTGCTTTTTCAAATAGATGAGGTATATAAAATATGCTCTCATACAACAATCTACGACATGTTACATTATTACAAAAATAATATAAAAACCATAAAGTAAACATTGTCATAAGCAATCTATTCGCATAAATCCTTAGTATTCATTGATTGCGAACTGCACTGAAACCGAGAACCTGTAGAATGCACAAAAGCACAATTATTTGACTTTAAACAATGCAACGCTCATATTTATTTAATTCAGTCATCTCCTTTTGAGATTTAATAATCACTGGCACAGGCTGTATCATATGAGTCCATTTTTTTTCTGTCCCCAAATTTAAAATGTATATTTGTTTGTTATATCATGTAACATATTTAAGACAAACGTGAGTAATTTAAGCCATTGTGTGTGAACGTGTACTGATGATAAATACTTCAAACTTACAGCGACCTGTAGGAGCAGATGTTGATCCAGAGGACGACCCCAACAATCAGGGTGAGGATGAGTTTGAGGAGGCAGAGCAGCAGCGGCATGCCCATGAGGAAGAGGAGGAGGAAGAGCCAGCACCCGTAGACAACCCCGACATGCACCTGGCCGTAGAGAATCAACACCAGCCGCCTGCTGAAGAACAACTGGTGGTAAGCAACAGGTTCTTTGCAGCTGAAAGGAGTCTCCTAACCAGCAGACGTGACATGTTTTCAGCATGATGTTTTACTAGGTGTGGGAAACGAGATTGTGGACCAATGAGTCTTCAGTGTTGGTGGAGCTATACAGCATTTTTTGTATAAAAACAAAAAACAGACTTGCAGTGATTTAGTTTGGGAATCTGACTGTTGCCGACATCTAGGGGATTTTTATGTTATGCAACTGAGAATGTCTGAATTTTTGTGTGTTTTGTGCAGATGGCTGGAAACCCAGACCAACAGGAAGATGCTCTGGATGAGCAGTACCAGGAAGATGGCGATGATGAGGTCAGATAACAAAAGCAAAACACACACACAGTCCTAAAAACAAAAAAAAGAATTATTTGTTCCCTAATCGGGATGGCTTTCTCTCTCCAGGCTCAAGATGAGCTGGTTGAAAATCAAAAGCATGAGGCGATGCGAGAAGGAGGAGACCCGTATAATGAGGAGAATGCAGAACAGGTACAAAATATTTATAATTTGTGGCTGTTCAGAAGAGGTTTGCTGATCAGACTTATACCTGGACAATGATGAAATAAATAAAAAATAGTTTATTATTTTTGGAAAAAAAATTATTCAGCAAGGATGCATTAAAGTGATCAAATAGTAAACACTATTTCAAAAGTGACAGTAAACACTATGACAATGATACAGAAGAAAAATCTTTTGATCTTTCTATTCATCAAAGAATTCTGAAAAAAAAGGCATCACAGTTTCCATAAAAATATTAAGCAGCACAACTGTTTTCAACATTGATGATGATAATAATAAGAAATATTTTATGAATGTTTTATGAAGGATCATGTGACACTGAAGCCTGGAGTAATCATGCTAAAAATTCAGCTTTGCCAACAGAGCAACACATTTTAAAATATTTTAAAATATATTAAAATAGAAAACGGGTCTTTTAAATTGTACACATATTTCACAGTATTACAATTTTGATCAAATAAATACAGCCTTGCTTAGCAAAAGAAACTTCTTTCAAACATTTAAAAATCTTACCAACCCCAAACTTTTAAACAATGCTTTATGCATATTTTGGTGCACCGTGTAATTTTTAGCGGTGGCCAGTAAACTCTAGTGGTGAGGTTGCGAATTGCAACCAACAGAAATGACGGTGGCCGACAGGAAAAGATGACGTCGTCTGAGACAGCAGAGAGTAGCCAGTTAAGCGATGAGGTTTCTTTACAAAGATAAAATAAGAAATTAGGTTAACTTAATTATTCAGTAAAACGATGTTATTTAGAATATTATTGTTACTTGTTCATCATTGTGTCAGTGTTTTATTCGCTGACTTTAGCTAGCATCTTTGCACGATGAACAACATAGTGACAAGACGTGTTTGTCCGTTTAGGGCCACTGTAGAAACATGTCGGCGCATTTCAATGTAAGAGGACCCGCGGTGTATGTAGATAGAAATGGCTCATTCTAAGGTAATAAAAACATAACGGTTCAATAAAGGACAAGTTCGGTATTTTACACTGATGAAATAGAACGGTTAAGATTGAAATTTGGACACATGCTGCTGGCCCGAGAATTTTCGGTTTCTGTGGTTGCATAGGTGCACTGGAACAATCCTTCATAAAACGCATTAAACTTTAGTTTACAAAGACGTGAAACTCACCGAGGGGTCTGGGGTGTTCACTGATATGCTCGCACAAAAATCGCTGCAAAAGATGCTTTCCAACAGGTTTTATCGTAGTTTTTGTCCAACTTGGAAAATTCTCGGGCCAGCAGCATGTGTCCAAATTTCAATCTTAACCGTTCTATTTCATCAGAAACGATCTTAAAACAGGGCTTTAAGTGTAAAATACCGAACTTGTCCTTTAAGTAGGCTAGGGGCCCTATCTTGCACTCGGCGCAAATGACTTTGTACACTGACGCATGTATCATTCCTATTTTGCACCCGCGCAAAGCGGGCTTTTCCCTCCACAGACACACGTCGGTTAACTAAGGCCCCATCCACACTACTGCGTTTTAGTTTAGAAACGGATAATTAAAACGAATACGATCTCTGTCCACACCAGCGTTTTAGCTGCGTATTAGAATTGATCTCCGTCCACATTAAAACGACTGAAAACGCGGATCAAGTGACCATTCACCAACACTGGGCATGCGCGTGCCGTTGTAAACACAACTTCATTGATAAAATTATCCCACCATGCTCTGGGTTAACCCCAAACCGACGCTCCATGTACGGTCAACGCCGCCGCTGCACACGGGAATTGTCACAGATCGCTCGAATAATAGCTTGACTCCGGCACATGTAGGCAGTTATAGCGTTGTAAAATGCAGAATTTACTTGTACAACAGCTGCTAGCAAAGATATACGCCATGACTGATGACACCCAATCATAGAGCCGAGCGTGAGCCTCTACTACGTCATCGTTTCTAAAGTCCTCCGTTTGGACCCGTCTACACTAAAACGCCCTCCGGAGATTGAAAACGAAAAACGGATCGGCAGCGTTTCTAAACTTCTTCGTTTTGGGTCTCCGTTTTTGCCGTTTTAGTGTGGACGGGAGGTGCAAACGTAGCAAAAGATCTCCGTTTTTAAACGAAAACGCAGTAGTGTGTACGGGGCCTAAGAAATACACTTGCGCTCCCCGGGGCGGTTCAGCGCAAAGAGGAGGCGTGTTCCGGCGCAAACTTTCCCTCATGCTATTTTGCTGTTCTATAAAACAAATGCGCCACTGACCAGAAAAAGCCTAGTCTAAAGTCAGTGGCGCGTTGCGCGTTGTTCATTATGCTATTTTAAGGGCGCATGCTTGGCCATAATCAATGTAGCGTGTGCACAACGCGCATACACTTTGATTCTCTCATCTAAGCAGCAGTTTTCATTTTTGCAAATCATACATTATTACGATAGATAGATAGATAGATAGATAGATAGATAGATAGATAGATAGATAGATAGATAGATAGATAGATAGATAGATAGATAGATAGATAGATAGATAGATAGATAGATAGACAATTTATTATAAAAGCATACATGTAGCTTATACATTTACCCAAATTATCATACGGCTGTTTAACAGAAGTTAATTTGGGTGGGTTTCTCCATCCCTAATGTCACTTCTCTGTGTTTTACGGCCCTGACGAGAACGTTGCTCTCCTCGGCTGTGAACCGCTCCTGGCGCGCGCCTGGCAAATCCGCCGTTATAATAGGAATCCGCTTTAGAACAAGCGCGCCTGCTCTTAAAGGGAATGTGAGATGACGCTCTGATTGGTTTATTTCACGTTATGCCCAAATCACACCTATGAATAATGAAGCTACTTCAGACCAACCCCTTTTAGATTTGCGCCAGGCGCAAGAGTCATTTATCCCGCCGGGAAAATAACAACAGCGCCGGGATCCGCCCACAAAGTTACTTGCGCTTTGCGCTTTGACACTTGCGTTTCAGATCGTTAAAATAGGGCCCTAGGTCTCTATACACCACTGAAAACATAGTTATGTATATGATATTGCATTTCTGTCTACAGATCCTCCTAAATATTACACAGTACACCTTTAAATACATTAGAATCTGTTAAGCATTATATATTTGTTAATTGTAGTGTTCATTTAGTTTCTTGTCAAAAATGTAGAAGGCAGGACCATGCATCTTTTGTTAAGCTGTCTGTTGCAAGACAACAATTTTATGGTCTCTGTCACTGTAATGTATCACAGAGAGTTATGTAGTGCTTACGTGTGTGTACGTTTTCACTTATTCTTTTGTACAAGCTGCCGCTGTAACTGTAGACTGGTGGCAGTGCCACAGTTGGGTGAGTCAGATCGATTGCAAAGTCCTCCACGGTGTTCAGTTACTGTCCTGAGTCCAGCTCCTCTTTAAACATCCATCCTCCATTTTCACCTCATCTCTTAAGCCCCTTTCACATAGAGCGTTGATCCCAGAAAATTGCCATAGAAGTGCTAGATGGCCTTCTGTGTGAACGCAAACACGTCCCAGGATTGATTCTGGGATGGGGACCTTAACATTGCTGGGATTAGTCCAGGAACGTTCATGTTGTTGTAAATAAACAACAAAGTTTGCACATCAACATCTAATGCCTGATCAGCTGCCATGTTGTTTAAAGCAATGCAAACACTTCCATTGTTGTACCACAACACTAGCGTTTTCGACGCATACATTACACATCACGTCTTTACGGGATGTGTGTGAACGCACGCACAGATTCCAGAAAATCCTTGGCAGTGTGGATGAACAAATCAAACGATCCCGGGACACATTATCAGTGTATATTCCGGAATCTCTGTGAAAGGGGCTTTAGATTTAGGGAATGTTCTTCATGCTTTATTCACGTCTGTGCACTTTTAAAGTTACAGTTCACTCAAAATGGAAAAGTCTGTCAGCATTTACTAACCATCATGTTGGCCCAAGCCCATAGCTGTGTCCAAAATCGCATACTGTATAGTAGGTACTACATTTAGTTACATACTTGAAATGTAGTTAGTATGATAGTATGATTTAAATTCGGACATACTACATCTACCATCTTGTCACTGCCTTGTGACCTAAGGCGTCAGTTATGTCGCTGCTTCACTGCCATTCACAAACCCTCTCCTGTGTCCTTCTGGGATAGTAAAGTGTCCAGTGGATGCACACTTGGAAGTAGGAGGTCATCCGGGTACTTTTCAGCTACTGTTTCATGAGTACTATGAATTCGGACAAACTACTCAGCTAAAATAATGTTTTTTTTTTGCCTACTATATAGGCATATTCGGATGCAGGGCATCACTTTATTTCTTATGTGAAAGAAATTTGAGGTGGTTAGTAGCAAACGAGCAGACTCGATGCTTGAGCTCAGACGTGTTAGGTGTGTGTAACAAACATCATACTTGATTGTTTTTATATAAATCTTTTCTCTTTTTTTTGTATCTGTACAGGAAGAGGTCAGAGGTCAGGTTGTGAAGGAGGATAATCAGCTCGCCCAACATCACAATGAGGAGAACTATGAGGAAGAAGAGGAGGAGGAAGAAGGCAACGGGGATAAACCCCCCATTCGCAGGGCAGAAATGTGAGGCGATTGAAAGGAAGGACAGCCAATCGCTGCCAAATTTGGATTGGGTTTCCCACACCATCCTCTAAACATTGTGCCGGGAGATGGCTCTGTTGGGTCGTTCTGATGAATAGGAAATCTGATTTTCTTCCAGTTTGTGTAACTCTGAAACCGAGATGCACCAAAACGCCCAACCACACAGAGCAAACACCTGCTGTCTGCCTTTACTGTACGTCTGTCTGTCATTTCTTCTTCTAAGGAGCAGTGAATAAGTTCAGTTTAAATGCTGTTATATCTTGCGTTTGATTTCTTTGGCTGGACGAAAATCTGAAAGCATAGATTTCAACCACCAGAAACTCTTGCACTGAAACATTTTTGTTCAGTTGGGGCTCCACATACAAGAAATATTCCATTTTAATATTGGTCTCATTTTAAGTCAAGACCGGACAGGCAGCAGTCACCAATCCGCCTTAAATCCTCACCTGGTCCTGCCCAAACTTGTGTTGGTAATTCATCCATCTTGTTGAGGAAAAATGCAACGCAGAAATATTGTATCATGGGTGAGTTTGACAAGGTGCTTGGGTCAACAGATGTCACTACATTAATGTTTACATGTAATTCAAGCAGATAATTGTAGCTGTTGAACGTCATTTTTAAATGCTGTACTGTACGTGCTTATTTACCATACTGCTGCCTAAACATAAACCAAATTCATTTAGTTAAACATGATTTTTATTTGCTTTTCACAAAGTGCCTCGTAGAGATTATAGGGAAAACTTCCTCAAATGCTGCCTATCTTGTTTGGTTCCTGATCTCTTTGTCGAATGTCTCTGTTATGGAAAACTATTTGTATTGAATTTTTTCTAGTCAACCTGCCAACTACTATTCTAGTATAAACTAGTGCTAGTGTTCCACGTGCTACTGGACCTGGTCCTCAAGTCTTTTTTTTGTTACTGTTAGTCTTTAACATATGACATTAGACAGCAGAGATATGAATGGCACATTGAAAATGAGAATTAATAAGAGACATAATATTCAGATGTAGAATTTGAATATGCAAAAAGTAAACAAAATGTTTGGATTAGCTTACTCAAAATGATTTGTTCTGAATGTATGCTAAATCACTACAATATTGCATTTTTTAATTTATTTTGTCTTGTATTTACTTTGCTTTTTTATATGATATAAAATGAAATAATCTTGTTTTGTCACCTTTGTTATTTTCTGGGACGCATATGATTTTTAGGTTTATTAGTTGATGTAATATTGATGAAACCAGCTTTCCTGTTAAGTGGTCAGCTTTAATACTTTATATTTAAAATGAATATATGTTCATAGATTTTTTTTCTGTTCTGCAAGTGATTTACAGAGAAATATTTTTGTGCTGTTTTGTTGATAATGGCATTGTGAGCAGAATAAAAATTGGTGAGAGATTAAATGCTCATCCTCTTTTAATCATGCACAAAGTCTGGCGGGTGTGCTGATGTTTGGAGTAGAGGACATATCTCTTTGTCTAATGACATAAATGTAAAAATGAACCTAAAGCAAAAATAACAGTGCTGTGCTTTCATCCTGCAGTTCCTGGAAGGCTGATGAGATGCAGCAGAAGTGACACAGAGGTAATGTGTAGATTCAGGCGACAGTTCTGCAGTCAGATGGATGAAATAGTAAAACAAGATGGACTGAGATCATCCCAAAAACATTTTCTATCCTGACTATCCTGTTAAAATAAAGGATAATAATAGTAAATAACGGCTTTTGAGTCTTCTCCTATAATGCCTGATGAGTTTGGAGAACACCTGACAAGAGATCAGAGACCATTCCTCCATACAGAATCTCTCCAGATCCTTCAGATTACCAGATTAATGTTGGTGCTTCTTCTCTTCAGTTAAACATGGCAGAAGCTTCATTTTGTGCTTAGTGACACATTTTTGTGTTGATTTTGATGTTTGTTTTGGACCGTTGTCCTGATGGAAGATCCAACCACGTCCCATTATAAGATTTCTAGCAGAGGTGGTCAGGTTTTACTTTTTTTTTTGAAAATCTGTTGGTATTTGCTAAAATCCATGATGCCATGTATCTGAACAAGATGCCCAGGACCTCCAGCAGAAAAATAGGCCCCCAACATTAAAGATCCATCAGTATATTTAACCGTGGGCATGGGGTACTTTTGATTCCTGTGTGCACCAAACACATCTGGTGGGTTTGCTGCCAAAAATCTTTTTTTTTTTTTTTTTTTCAACTGACCATAAAATCCAGTCCCTTTTGAAGTTCCAGAAGTGTCTGACAACTAAATATGCTGGAGTTTGTTTTTAGATGAGAGTAGGGGATTTTTTTCTTGAAACCCTCCCAAACAACATGTTATGTTTATTTTTTAAGTTTTCTGACCCCAAGACCAAACTAATATCCACAATTCTCCATCTGTGATCCTTGGAAAGGCTTTGGCCACTCAAACTTTCCTCCTCGCCGTGCATTAAGACAATATAGAAACATGTCCACTACGGCCTTAACGAAATTCACCAATGATTTGTTTACTTCCTTTGATAAAGGCCAGTTACTGGTGCAATCTTCGTTGATCTCTCTAAAGCATTTGACATGGTGGACCATTACCTTCTGCTTGATAAATTACACACTGTAGGCTTTGATCAAAACTCTCTCCTCTGGTTTAATTCCTATCTCCATAACAGACGCCAATATGTTTTTTTTTTCAAGGCTCAAATTCGGATTATTTGGTTGTTAACGGTGTTCCTCAAGGCTCAACACTGGGTCTTCTGTGCCTTTATTAATGACCTTCCCAAAACTTGCTCATGCTCTTCCATTCATCTTTATGCAGATGACACTGTCATTTACTCTTCCCCTTCTCTGCAGTCAGATTTTAACTCATTGCAGGATTGGTTTTACAAAAACAAACTTGTCCTCAATAAAAAGAAGTCTTGCAGTATGCTGTTTTTTAAAAAGACGCCACCCCTCGCATTCCTTTGATTTAGATATTAGTTTTAATGACGGGTCACTCCTCATTGAAGTTAATCTATTTAAATATCTTGGTCTTTGTCTGCACCAGAACTCTCCTTTAAGCCTCACATTAATTTTGATCAAAAAATCGTATGGTTGCTTATGTTCTCTTTATCGCTCAATTCATTGTTTTTCATTTCAAGACAGAAAAAGATTAATCTCCCAATTAATTCTTCCTATTATTGACTATGCAGACATTATTTACCAAAACACTTCAGATACCAATTTAAAACCTCTAAATGTCATTCACAATACTTTATGTAGGTTTGCTTTGAGATGTCCTTACAGAGCCCACCATTGTATGGAACTCTTGATTGGCTCCAATTAAAATCCCGAAGGCAATATCACTGGTTCCAGTTTCTTTTTAAATGCATTCATTTTAATTGCCCTTCTTACTTAAAACAGCTTTTGGTTCCATTTACATCCTCCTATCCCTTTCGACACATGCAGCATCCGTTTTTCTGTGTCCCGAGAATTTTTACTGAAGTCGACCGCAGGTCATTCCAGTACAAAGCTCCATCTGACTGGAACAATCTCCCTTCTCTTCTCAGATCAATCACATCTTTCCGTCTTTATAGGACTAATCTATTTACTCGTCTGAAAATAACCTGCTCATGTTTTTAAATCAAGGCTCCTATACCAACGCTTATCACTTATCCTGTTTATTATATTGATTTATTCATTTGTATGTCTGTTATCTCTCAGGGTGCAGGTACATTTTGATTTCCATGTTTGCACTAAAATGTATGTCCTCTTGTGTGTACATGCTCCTGTTTGTCTAATACAGTTGTAGACGGTAGGTGGGAGAATAGGGGAGTGAGCTATTTGTATGTTTAAGTGATTTTATTTGTTTGTTTTTTGTTTTGTTTATTTGTTTGATTGCTTTAAATGTGTTGTATTTTGTATTGTAGTTTATATGTGTTATTGGGACCCCCTCGAAAATGAGATGTTGCATCTCAAGAGACTATCCTTTCAATAAATTCAAACTCTTCCAGGCAGATTTGTAACTTCTTTAGTTGATTGGAACTTGATGGAAATGGGAATTTTCAATGCTTTAGCTATTTTCTTACAGCCACGTTCTAATTTGTGAAGCTTAACAATCCTTTGCTGTAAATCAGAACTATATTCTTTGGTTTTACTTATGATGGATGATTAAGGGAATTTGGCCTTTGTGTTACCTCTTATTTATACTCATGTGAAACAAGAAGGGACTTTGGCTAGCATATCTGCATTGTGTTATCATTTCAGGCAGCTGTAATAAATCTTTCAGGAAACGCTGGAAAAAATGCTTACTGTAGGGAAGCAGAGATCTGCTGACAAACAAAGTTGCTTCACAGATTTAAAAAGCTGTAGAAGGCCTAAAATTTTGTCAGATCTCTCGTTTCTCTGTTCTTTGCTTTCCCGCGCACAGTCTCCTCAGCTCGGGTTTCAGTGGCACTGAAACTGACACCAAAATTAAAACAAAACACTGAAGCGCATATGAATTAGTGATCGTCGCTGAAAAGATAAGCTAAACTTAAGAGGACAATTATGGTGGGTCATGATGAATGGCTTTTGAATGGGAAACCTTGAGCATATGCAGTGGTTACATAGCCAGTGTGCGGATTAGCTTTCAAGGGCATATAGCGCTATCAATTGAGGTTTATGTGGCACTCAATGTTTTTTCTTAGGAAAATACAAAATGTATTGTGCATTTTGTATGTAAATCTATGATAAATAATGACAGTAAGCTTCCTACGTTTTGCTGATCAGCCAATACAAGCGGCCCATTGTTGCTATGGTTACTTCATCAGGTGCTAGCAATTTACGGTTTTGCGACAATAAAACTTTAAAATTAAGTTTTATCCTTTTTAAACGTTTGTAAACACTATAAAATGTACACATATCATGTACTGATTATATCTGTTAAGAATAAGTATGTTTGTCTATATAGCTTGTTTCCACAAATGAATAAAAAGTAAAAAAAGGATAATTCAATTGCGACTTTTATCTCACAATTTGAACTTTTTTTCTCACAATTGCGAGTTTTATCATCTCTGCGTGATATAAACTTGCAATTGTGAGTTATAAAGTCAGAATTGCGTGTTATGAAGTTATAAAGAGATATAAACAATTCCGTAATTCGCAATTCTGACTTTATAACACGCAATTGCGACTTCATATCACAATTATGAGAAAATAAGTCAGAATTGTGAGATAAAAACTCGCAATTACGAGAACAAAAGTCGATTTGTGAGTTTATATCTCTTTATAACTTTATATCACACAATTCTGACTTTAACTTGCTATTGCATGTTTATATCGCAATTTTGACGTTATAACACAACTGTGAGAAAAAAGTCAGAATTGCAAGATATAAACTTGCAATTGTAAGAAAAAAGTCCGAATTGTGAGATAA